TTACAATCTTCGCACTCCATATATAGACTAACATATTTTACATAGACGCGGGATGCGGGTAATCGCGGTACGAATCGAGGGGGGTACTTTAGACGGGTAATCCTCCGGTGGTCGTTGCGCTGGAACCCCCATCCCCTATACTACTGCAGAAGGATTTAATCGCCGTCAGGTCCGAAGTCCATACGACGCCCCAGCTCTGCGGATGTCTCGGGGGTATGGCACGAAGGCACTATTTTCCCCCCGTATTTTTGAATTAACTATCGAATTTCTGACGTCGGTAGACGTGGGTTCGAATCCCACCGTATCCATATGAGATTTATTTATTTTTACACCATTTTTTTCTGTGTATATAGGAGTATTTTCTTTACACGAATTACAACAATAGATATTTTGAAATTTTCGTAATTGTCATTATTCTTGTCAACTGCATCTTCCTTGCGCTTGACCATCCACCTGAGCAAGCCGAGTAAGTATCATCACGTGGTCTGAATGTCATGTGGTCTGAATGTCACGTGGTCTGAATGTCACGTGGTCTGACGGTCACGTGGTCTGACGGTCACGTGACATGATTGCAGAAGATTTCTCCAGCGTAGCCTCGCATTCAAGCGTTTCAGGGCGAGATTACGTAGGTTTAAACAAAGCTTTCCATTCTCATGCGAATGAACATGCATGGCGCCGTGTCATCAAGGTGCATTTGTTGTATGATATACATAATATCGAGTGATATGATTATATTCCTTGTTTTCCTATATCATTACACTTCGTGCAGGTATGTATTTGCAGCCATCTATACCCTGGAGATGTTTCTCAAGATCATCGCCAAAGGGTTTGTTCTCCATTCGTATGCATATCTACGAGACAGTTGGAACCTCCTTGACTTCTTCGTGGTTATCATGGGGTGAGAAAAACTACTCATTTATTCATTTCTATTATCTAAAAACACTCGCGTCCTTAAATGAATGAAATACAAACATATGGCATCTAGGAGCGTAAAGCGATGAGTTTGTTTAAGTTCTTTAGTAGAGGCTTGACTGGAATTGACACAACACATCTAAGTTTTGCAGACAAGTGTCAGCACCAAACCATGCTTTCATTAGTGCAAAACAGATTGAATAATGAAATTCTTTTGCAAGTGAAATAGTTTTCATTGGCTGGCGTCTTTCTTGGCCTAGGTATGTCACTCTAGCCCCCAACATCGCCAATTTCTCTGGAATTCGTACAATAAGAGTTTTGAGAGCCTTGAGGACAATATCAGCCATGAAAGGTAACTATACTGGATATTAAACATTGTCAATGGAGTGGGGTCAGTAGGTGACATTGTCAGGAGAAGGACAGTGAGTGAGGTAGGGTCAGTGGGTGACATTGTCAGGAGAAGGACAGCGAGTGAGGTAGGGTCAGTGGGTGACATTGTCAGGAGAAGGACAGCGAGTGAGTTGCTAAAGAACCCACTTTCATTGCCATGTTCCATGCAGGTTTGAAGGCGATGGTCAACACGTTACTGCGCTCAATGAAGATGCTCAGTGATGTTTTAGTTCTGTTCTTGTTCTTTCTGGCCGTCATGGCTCTCATTGGACTCCAGCTTTTCATCGGTGAATTACGAAACAAATGTGTTCGAGACAAGCCTATCAATGTGAACACTAGTTACCAGGAATATGTCTCGGTGGAAGGTATGATACCTGAACAATTATCGAGTCTTCATAGGCGAACAGCCAGTAAATGCTGTTTTTATCTTGGTTTTTTTTTTTTTTTTTGGCTTTAGAAAACTGGTACCTGGTCGATGGCGCGGCTTTGATATGCGGGAACAGTTCTACATCAATGTAAGTAGGTTGGAAGATCAGATCAGGCACTGAGACGTTTGATTGAATGAGCGGGATTCTTTTCTTTTACCCCAAATTTATACCCATTTGAATAATTATGTATGGCGGTGACTAGCTATAATTCGAGTCGCCTAAGTCATAACAGCCTGAGGTAACAATTTCTTGTTTGACAAAAGCCAAAAAGCTATCACTGGTAATGTTAGTCGCGTAATGTAGCATCTTATAAAGGTACAATCAACTCACCCATTAATCGGCTGCCTGTTCATCGTGTTGTTTCTGCAGACCTTGTCCAACTAACTACACGTGTTTGCCACACGTTGGTCCAAACCCTGATGATGGATACACTAACTTTGATAACATCGGTTGGGCACTCGTCATGTCCTTTCAGCTGCTTACTATGGATTACTGGGAAAATCTTTACGATAAAGTAAGAGTAGAATGTTATTCCTAATCTCGCCTGAGGGAGGGAGGGGGGGGGGGGAGTTGAAAACTTACTGCAGGTGGCCATGTTACTAACCGTAGAATGGTTGACATTTCAGATCATAGCTGCTGTTGGTGCTGGATATGTTCCTTATTTCATTGCTGCGATATTCTTTTGTTCTTTTTATCTTCTGAACCTGGTTCTTGCTGTGGTTGCTCTATCCTATGAACAAGAGATTAAAGCAGTTGTTAATGAGGTCAGTCAGACGTGATGATGATGATGGTGATGATGTTGATGATGATGGTGATGATGATGGTGATGATGATGTTGACGTTGATGGTGATGGTGATGATAATGGTGATGATGATGATGTTGATGATGGTGATGATGGTGATGGTGATGGTGATGGTGATGATGATGATGATGATGATGATGATGACGATGGTGATGGTGATGATGATGATGTTGATGATGATGGTGATGATGATGATGGTGATGATGATGATGATGTTGACGTTGATGGTGATGGTGGTGATAATGATATGCAAACGTAATGAGATTTACACATGATAGTAGATGGTGTTGTAATTTATAATACAGCAAATGATTGAAAAGCACAGGAAGACAGGGTGGCGCATAAATAAAGCATATTACACAGAGTAGCTAAAGTATTACAGGCAGAGTATGAATACTGCAAGGATGATAGATGGGGTGTGCCAAAAACACTAGTACTTATGGTGTTTAATTTCAGAACGACTGCCCAATGAGTGTAATCTTCTTTTGTTTCTCAGAGTGTTCAAAGAAGAAAAGAAAAGAAAGTAGCTGTCTCTTACCCAGCAGACGAAGAGACCCTGCGTACCCTGCGTCCCATTGACAACTCTGTCGGTGCGCTGTTACGCGCCATTAAAGCTATGAGACTCGAGCAAGAAGCACAAGCAAAGCAAAGGTCTCACAGCCTGGCCAGGAAAGATTCTGTTCTCAAATCCATCGGTACAAAAGGAACCTTCAAAGATGTTCTCGACGAAAAACTAAAAAATTATTCGTTTACTCAAGATATGCGAAAGTGGCCGAAGTTCCAGCGATTTCTCCTGAAGATGATTGATCACCCTTCTTTTGAACTTGTTGTTAATGCATTCATCCTTGGCAACACTGTTGTCCTTGCTTTATATCATCATGGTATCGACGAGGGTTTCCGTCAAATATTAGATATCCTAAATCTGGTACGCTTGTTTTTTATCTGGAAAGAAAGTGGATTTGTAAATAGAAAAAACCCTGAATGTCTTTAGACCTATCTAATTCCTTTGAGCCTAATATTTTCCCATTTCAATCCCTTGAGAATAAAATTCTTTGTTTGAGTTTTATTTACATCATTGTTACTTCAATGAATAAACAATAATACTCAAGGGAATGACATGTGGTCTGAAGTGAGAAAACAACGAATAATCTGTAATAGTCCTCTTTACCTTGGGCGTAATGTTTTCTCATTTCAGACCACATTTCATCAGTTTAAGAATAAGATTCTTATTCTGCGTTGTATCCATATTCATGTCTTCTCATGTGCAACCTTAAATAAAGAAATGATACTCTAGGGAATGACACGTGGTCTGAAATGAGAAAACATTACGCCCAAGGTAAAGAGGTTTATTGGTGCATTGAAGCTAGACTATTTCGTTTCGTGTGTAGGGTTTCACAGCAATCTTTTTCCTGGAGATGGTCATCAAACTAATGGGTGTTGGTTTTGTGGACTACCTCAAGAGCAGATGGAATCTTTTTGATGGATTCATTGTTATAATGAGTTTAGTTGATACGACTTTTGAGTTGGCCAAGTTTCGTGAGTCAGCAGGGACGAGTATCTTTAGAACATTTCGTTTGGTAAGTAACCCAATGCTAAAACCATTGTATGGATTCTTGTATACCACGGACAAGCAACCAATCAGAAAGCAGTCTAATCATTTGATTCGGAYGATTTTTTCAGGTTCGTATAATGAAGTTGGCACAGTCTTGGAAGACCATGGGGAAGCTGCTTGCAACCATCTCTAATAGTGTTGGTCCAATTGGTAACATAACACTTATCCTGGTTCTTATTATCTACATTTTTGCCGTTTTGGGTGTGAAAATGTTTGGCAACACGTACACTCAACAAGTCTTTCCTGATGGGATTCCAAGGTGGAATTTCAAAGACTTCTGGCATTCATTCATGGTGGTGTTTAGGATCTTGTGTGGCGAGTGGATTGAACCTCTCTGGGACTGCATGAAGGCAACTAATCCCGGCGCCATTTTGTTCTTCATTCCCGCATTTGTTATTGGAAACTTTATCGTAAGTATTTTCCATGAGCCTCTTGGGGAAATCTACGCTCACTAGCCTCTGAGGAGAGAGATGAGCCATAATGTCTGCCGTCAATATACTGCGTGTGACTACTGTGTTAAACATACCACCAAACAGTTTCTCTCGTCGTTACTCGCAAGTCATTACTATAGACGTACTCTCCTGTTGTTTCCACAGGTATTAAACTTATTTCTAGCTTTATTACTGAACGCGTTTGACAGCGAAGATGATGACGATGACAATGGCAGCGAGGAGTCAGATGATGAAAATAACGAACCACTCTTACAAATGTTGAAGAGAAAGCTCACGACCACGCGGCAATGGGTGGTACCGTTAAAACAAGAAGAGAACCTGCATGCGACGAACGGCTCGGCAAAGAATGAAGTGAACACGATAACTGACAAGAAAGTATCGTTGACATCAAGGACAAAGCAGCCTCAGATGATAACTTCAGTTGTATCGGAGGGAGGTAGGAGAAGCAAAAGGGCAACTGTAAGCTTTTTAAGCTTTCTTAATGACATTTTAAAGTAATTAACACTGAAGTTGAATTTGAGAAGAATACTGACATGTTTATATATTAACAGGCAGCACAGCTGCAATAGACAGTACTGGTGAACTTGGGACAAACAACAAGAAATCTGCTGGACTTAGTACAAAAAAGAAACGACCCGAAGGAGAGATAGTTATCACAGAGTGTTTCCCCGAGTTCCTGATGGCGCCATTCGACTGCTTGCCGTGGACGTGTTTCTGGTGGTTGCGACTCAGAGGTCGCGTACGTTGGTTTGTGGAGCATCGTTACTTTGAATGGTTTATTCTTTCACTGGTGTTCATCAGTAGCCTTGTATTGGTAAGAAAGGATGCAGATTTACTATGACTCTGAAGGGCTTTTGATACATCGTGACGGTGTCGTGTCCTATCGTGACGCTGTCGTGTCCCATCGTGACGGTGTCGTGTCATATCGTGACGCTGTCGTGTCCTAGCATTTTGATTGGAGAATCACCGCAAAAATCTCACTCGTTTTTCGTTTCTTTTTTCTTGCAGGTTTTCGAGGACGTTCACTTGAAAGACAAACCCAGACTAGCTTTCATTCTAGACACCTTGAATTACATCTTTGCTATTATTTTTGCCATCGAGTTTGTTCTGAAGATAATAGGTATTGGGGTTGTCGAGTTTTTCTCTTCGTTCTGGAATTTTCTGGACGCATTCATCGTCGCGGTAAGCTCAGTTTTAAGTTAATATCCCTGAATTGCTTCAGAATGTGTGATAGTAAGAGTCACTGAAACTGCGGGTATGATTTTGTATTTGGTAGATCTCCGTAGCATGCATCGTGCAAGATAAGAATCTTTCAGTCTTTCGTTCTTTGAGGACAGTCCGTGCGCTTCGACCCTTGAGAGCTGTATCAAGGCTTGAAGGCATGAAGGTTTGTACAAAATAACACATTCTATATTTGATCGTAGTTCGTTTTCAGATCACCTCAATAACACATGTCAATGGATATGTTGCAGGTGGTTGTCAACGCCCTGTTTGCAGCTATTCCTGGTATTGCAAACGTCCTTCTGGTATCCCTTCTCTTCTGGTTAATCTTCTCTATACTTGGTGTTCAGTTATTTGCTGGCACGTTCTTCAAGTGTGTGGATAATGACGGTAACCGGCTGCCAGTCAGCGAGACCAATAATATGACTGAATGTCTGGATAAAGGATACAGTTGGGAAAACTCAAATATTAACTTTGATAACGTCATCAATGGATTTCTGGCACTGTTCCAAGTGGTAATGAGACACGATAAAGCAGATAATAATTATTGATTAATCATTGACCGGGTTTGTCAATAATCCTTAGATCGAAGAAATAATAACTGCATTTTTTTTAATTTGGCAGGCAACGTTTGAAGGCTGGATGGAAGTGATGAACGACGCTGTTGATTCAAGAGGGGTAATAGTAATAATAATATCATATGTGTTACCTTTCAGATTAACATTCCCTTTCTGTCTTTTTTACTCAGGTGAACCTTCAGCCTGAAGATGAGTATAATTTTGGTGCCTACACGTACTTTGTTATCTTCATCATCATCGGAGCGTTCTTCGTGCTCAACCTCTTCGTTGGTGTCATCATTGATAACTTTAATACTCTGAAACGAAAGGCAAGTATCATTGTAAAGCCCGATAAAACGAGCTGCTAGGTGTTGTGTCATGATTCGATCTGTGTTTGTATATTAACAGTATGACGAGATGAGTGGGATGGGTATGTTACTAACAGACTCTCAAAGAAAGTGGGTGGACATGTTAAAAGATGCCGCCAAGAGAAAAGCACCTTCACAAGCAATGAGACCACAGGTATATCAACAACWGGTTTTCTTTCTCAATTAATCCACAACGAATCACAAATATAAGGTAGCACAATAATGATAATACAGTGTTCAATAGTTTGTTAGAATGAGGCTTTCACAACCGATTTCTCGTTGATCTATTTATCACCTTAGTCGTTCAACATGTCGGCATTGTTGTAAGTCATTTAACCTTCTTAGAGAACGATTTACACGTTTCTATGGTTACAGAATTGTTGTAAGTCATTTAACCTTCTTAGAGAATGACTGACATGCTTCTATGATTACAGGATTGCCTTTGTGGTATTTTATTCGACATAATCACGGGAACAGCATTCGAGATCACGTTGCTAGGGTTGATCATCTGCAAYATGCTCATCATGATGTTCCAGCATTACAACCAATCAGATGAGTTTTCTGACGTCATGAATATCCTTTTAAACGCTATATGAACTGCACTGGAACCTAACTGTGTTCCGCCTTCAACCAATCAACAAAAGGCACAAAAACTAACAACAGCCAATAAAAATGCTTTAGTACGAGAAAGCTTGCTTAGTGTCACATGCTTGCAATGCACCATTCATACAACACGACACTCACCTATTAGTCAAATCCAACTAGTGGTCTATCATCAATGCTGCGTTCTGATTGGATGAGCTACTACTGGACTATAAGTTATAGCCTACTAGTAGTCTATCATCAATGCTGCGTTCTGATTGGATGAGCTACTACTGGACTATAAGTTATAGCCTACTAGTGGTCTATCATCAATGCTGCGTTCTGATTGGATGAGCTACTACTGGGCTATAAGTTATAGCCTACTAGTAGTCTATCATCAATGCTGCGTTCTGATTGGATGAGCTACTACTAGGCTATAAGTTATAACCTACTAGTAGTCTATCATCAATGCTGCGTTCTGATTGGATGAGCTACTACTGGGCTATAAGTTATAGCCTACTAGTAGTGAAAAGTGCTTTGAAGACCAAAACATTAAATTTAACTTTAATTCAAGACTTGTTTGTATCTATATATTTGACCGTCTAGTTGGATTTGACTAAAACAATTCACAATTCTCACCCTCAAGGCATACGAGTCAATAGGCTATTCGGGGTCGAGGACTTCTGAGCCACACAAAGTCTAGAATGCTTATCTTGATATTTTCCTTAACTAGTGTCGTGTGGCTGCGCGGCGAATACAAAACTTCAATCGCTTCTTCACAGCGGTCTTCGTCATAGAACTCCTAGCCAAACTCATGGCTCTTCGTATTTATTACTTCAAGAAAGCATGGAATATCTTTGACTGTATTATTGTGGTCTTCTCTTGCGTCGGTAGGTACTTTCAAATGGCTTCCACGGAGAACCAATCAGAAAACACCAAACGTTATTTCATTGAACCACAATGCTAAAGTGAGATGAGTGGCGCGTGGTCATCAATTCCTGTGTATAACAAGACAATATTTCATTGAACCACAATGCTAAAGTGAGATGAGTGGCGCGTGGTCATCAATTCCTGTGTATAACAAGAGCCAGGTTTTCTCCACGTTCTCCAGTTGTCATCCCTACATAAAACTTAACATGAGATTTATTAACAATAGACGACTTGCACTTACAGGTCACGTGACCCTACCTCCCTTAAAACGAGCAGTTTTGTCAGAGTATAAAACAGAAATGAACAGAACATCTCGGCATTAGTAGGGAGGCGGAGTCTCAGCTCATAATAAGCGAAACAGGAGGAATGGTATTACATATAAAATTAAATGTTTTATAAGGATTTGTATGGGGAAATGCGCTGGATGGCAAAAGCTTACCAGCCAACACTTTTCCCATACACATCCCTGTAAAATATTTGATTTTAAATTTAATGTCATTTATCCTATAGTCAACATTTCGAGCTGAACCTTTGCCCTTTTACTAAATTCAAGGTGCTGTTTTCATTTCTGGAGTTCATTTTGACTCATTTGCTCGTTTTAAGGGGATGGGGTCACGTGACCCGTTAGTGCAAGTCATCTATTGTCCAACCCATTCCTCCTTATTTTTGTAGGCCTTTACTTCGATGAAGTATCCGCCAAGGACAAAGCAATTGGAAACCCAAGTCTTCTTCGCGTCATACGAATCTTCAGAGTTGCGAGGCTTCTTCGTCTTCTTGAGTTTGCTAAAGGAGTTCGTCAACTCCTTGTCGCTTTGGTGATATCTTTACCTGCCCTGCTAAACATAGGGACATTGTTATTTCTTGTTATCTTCATCTTCGCCATCATTGGCATGTCCGCATTTGGTCACGTCAAGCAGCAAGGCAGTATTGACGAGAACGTGAACTTCCAAACGTTTGGAAACTCAATGATGTTATTGTTTCGTTTGTCCACGGGTGCTGGTTGGAATGACATCTTGGAATCTCTCATGGTTCAACCGCCGATTTGTGATCTTAATTTCGGCGAAGACTTACCAAATGGTGACTGCGGGTTTCCTTTTGGAGCGATTATGTACTTAGTGTCCTATATTATAATAGTGTATCTAATCGTTGTTAATATGTACATTGCTATCATTCTGGAGAACGTCAACCGTGCTCAGGAGACTGCGGATTGTATCGTTAATAAAGATGACATAGATGCTTTTTATGATAAGTGGGAAACACTTGTAGAAGGTGGAAAACAATATGTTTCGGCTCACAGACTTTCTGATCTCGTGGCAAATTTAAACGATAAGTTTAAAATACCTCAACCAAATGTGCAACAGTTAGCTCTCCTAGAAATTCCTATTCGGATTGGTGAAAGAATCCATTGCTTTGACCTTCTTAAAGCTCTTGTAAGACGGTTATTAGCTCAGCAAGGAGAGTCTCCAGAGACGTTTGATCAAATAGCAGTTCGACTTGAAGCTCAGTTTAAAAAATCTTTCAACAAGAAAATGTTGTCTCCCACAGGGATTAAACTGGAAAGTCAAGACGATGCAGTTGCCTGTGCCCTGCACAAAGCGACGCGACTGTTCGAACGCAAGCGAGACACTCGACGTGAACAGCTAATGATGCTTCGGGAAATCGACAAGCGACGAGCTGCCGCAGCTGATTTTCTTAACGGCAATTCAATAGAAGACTATGAGTCGTTTTTAGACGATTCAGATCTCGACAAGGAATCTTTATCATACCATATCATGTTAAAAAACAAGCTTTTTGGATCAGGTTATTTTGATCAGAAGAATCGAGCGCGATTTGAGAACAGTAATCGAAGATATGAATTAACATATAGTAGTTACAATGGTGGAGAATCCAGAAACAGCCGTGTTTTCGGGTCATTCAGAGAAAATTCTTACAGTGAATATAATGGAGACGCAGGGTATAACTGCGATAGTCGTACATACGAGTCGTTTAGAGAAATAGACTACAATGAGTATCGTACTGATGGAGGAGAAGTYTTATATCACAGTAGTAATGGTATATATGGCTCACATAGTGACTATGCTAATGAAGAAGATGAACCTCGATATGGTAACAGGATATACGGATCACCTAGAGAAAGCACTTGTAATGACAATAGCTGTAATGGTGGAGATGTCCCGTACTGTAGTAATGGTCGCATATTCGGCTCGCGGAGAGAAAGTACTGATGGTGATTATAATGTCGATGGTGGAGGGGGCAATTGGCAGATAACAATATAGTATTCACCCAGGATGAGGCTAAACAATCCTCTTGATATATCACGACAGCAGCGGAACGACGACATGTAGCAGAAGCGCACATGACTTCATTGTACATTCTCGTTTTATTAGCGGAACTTTAGTTATATGTGGTTCCAATTTTTGTAGAATTTTAGAATGATATTGTAATAAATTTTTTCTACAAACATTTCCAAAGCTTGTATTCAATCAAGAGAATAGTCCCCTTCACAGTTCTCCGCGCTATCTTGAAATGTAGCCGTGCCTTTGCATCGAAGCGAGACGAACGGTAAGCTTGCAATGATAGAGACCTYTTTTTAACACCTTGGACAATAATTTACACGTCTCTATCATTGCAAGCTCACCGTTCGTCTCGCTTCGATGCAAAGGCACGGCTACCTTTCAAGATRGTGCAGGGAACTGTGAAGGGGACTATTGCTGTGCGCATGTTAGGTGAATTGATCGCGGAGAACCCTAAAAAGTGGGGGGCCTAAGATTGGAAAGTATAAGAGACTTAGTATGGAAAAGAAGAAACATGTATTGTGGGGGGGAGGGGGAGGGAGGGTTCCCATGGCAGGTGTACCTGAAAAATGTTCTGCTGTAAGATAAAATATCTTTGAATAACAAGTATTGTTTTGCTGATTTGATCTTTAATAACACACTTTAATAAAACACTTTACAACAATTAATCAAGTTACATAAATTCGCGAAGAATTAGAAAGTTGATATTTCATGTCACACAGGAAACCCACACGTTCTTTTGTTCATTCTGAATCATTTTGTATAACAATAAGTAAATAGTTATCGCAGTCAAGTTAGCAAAGCATTTCATGTTTCAGCAAATTGCTGTAAAAGATTTCTTTAAAAAAGAATATGTTTTAATAAACTTTTCGATGTTTAGTTTCAGCATCAATTGAGTGTCACAGTAATTTTAGATTTTCGATTCGCCTTGACGACGAGTGTTAACGTGTTTGCATTATTGTTTTTCATAGTTACTTATAGTAATCTTGCGCCCAAAGAAATCCTGTGGTGCATGAGTTTATAAAACATACCGTGTAGAAAAGCTCGCCATCCTGTCTTCTCTTTTTGTAATGCGTTTGAATGGGTTTTTATTGTTTGTCGATGACTAAAATTGTATACTCGTACTTAGATTTATAATTCAAAATGAAGCTGGAGTTGGAAGGCATGTTTGATTCAAACCACCTTCAAAAATTCAGTTGCTCTACAAATACTGACATGTTTATCTGATGATGAAGACACCTTTATTCCATTTATTCGACAGATATATTAATCAGAGGAAGTTTTAAGGGAAATAATTGAATAAATATGTCAAATATAAACAATCTCACCTGTTTTGCTCCTTCCTTATGGGTAAACCTGCGCGACAGTGATGTCACAGTCTGATGATCGATAACCAAGCAACAGCTTCAGGCCTGGGTTGTTGGCAAAGTAGTCTAAGATCGACTATTATATATTTAGAATCAACTTTCAAATAAAATGTATAAAAATGTACGTGACTCTCTTCGTGAAAATTCTAGCATACGATGCATGGATATTATGCAAAACTTTATGCACCGGTAGATACCAAGCATTACTTTATATTAGATTATTTTGATGGGTTTTTAGGGACAAGTCCCAAGAGAATGATTATAACAACAAACTCGTAATCACAACAACAATGATATGAAGGACTGAAAACGAATAAAAAAATCGATATTGTCATTTAGTCTATAGTCATTAAGTGAAATACTTATAAATAATCATGATATTGTATTTTTAGAATTGGGCAAATTTGAAAATTAATTGTAAAATATTGTTTAATTTCGTGTGTGTGTATAGCGGTTGTGAATGAATAATGGATGAATCGCCTTTAAATTCTGAACTGCAAGGAGGTATTATTAACAATAATAAAACTGCATTAATAACATGGTTAACTTAAGTAAGCAGATACTGTATTGGGGATCGAGGTATACAAGTCCTGGAACATACAATGCTGTAGGTTCAACCAGAGGTAAGTGAATTAAAATCCCACCAAAGTTAGAACATTTGTATTAATTAGGTTTGGGAAGCCTTAATAATCTAATAATCTCTTGATATTTAGCTTTAAAAGCTGAATCTTTTAGACAAATGTAAGAGAACTTCCCTTTTGATATGGTGAAAGCTTTTCTATATATATTGTTTCTATATAGATATGACATCGAAACAGATAGCTGTAATGCTTGATCGTAATTTCTAAAATAGTTTTAAAAAACTTGACAAAAGTCTAGAGTTATCGGAGAGTGATATACATGATTGTTAGGTTATGTGCAGGACTATTTATAGTCGAGTTATGGCGAAGATAATCAACAAAACTTGTTTTAGTTTGACAGAAATTTTACCTTGCCGTTTAGGTTTTGGACTGTACAGACTAATGAGCTTTTGTACGATATTTCTAAATTAGTATTAAAAGCAGAAAAAGAACTAAATTCAGTAAACGGTGAAGTTTGAAGTAAATTTTGAAAAGCGTGAATTTTGTAGAAAAACCTTTGCCGAAGGCAAGAGAGACCACATAGTAGGCTATGGGGCTATAACGAATATTTTCATACGTAATTTTCTATTTTTGAAAATTCATATTTTTGTGATTTTTGAACTTACTAATAATAAAACTATGTATGTTGATAGTGGCTATCTAAATATCAGATTACTGCACTCTTGTGCCGACTACTTCGGTAAATAATCAACGAAAAATTGAAACTTTTTTAACCTGAAATTTAATGCTAATTTTAAAAATGCAAAGAAAAATGGGGTTTCCAGAGCTTGTTTTCGAGATAATCACTACGGAATGACATGCATTTGTACGATTTTGGAAGAAAAATAGCGAAAATCAAGCTCTGTACAAAATAAAAATCATAAAACCGAAACTAAGGAAGAAACATGAGTAATTTTCTCCGAACACGTAACGTACACTATATTTATAAAATACTGATAAAAGTTGTTTTATTAACTATTGTAGACAATGGAAAAACTTTTTTTGTTCAGGTTCTACGGTGTACAAGTTATGTAAAAATTGAGCACAAAACAAACAGAACGATTCTTTACATTATTCTGATAAACAGAATTGTGCGGCTTAAACTTTGAAAAATAATGGGATATTACCTGTTATTCTGAAAAATAACAAAAAAGTCTAGAGTCCAGTGCAAAATTTGAGGGTTTTGCCCTGTTGAAGTTCAAAACGTGTATAGTTTTTCAATAAAATCGTAAACATTATTCAGCGGTTTTTGAACGCGCGCACATCGTGGGCTCAAATCGAATGTTGAAAAGTAGTCAGCCACCTTAAAACAAGGTGGTTTTGGAGCGACTGTAGTCTGCACAGCGGCGCTTTGGGGAGGGAGGAGCGGGGTGAGAAAGGGGAAGGAGAGTGGAGACATCACAATGTCTTATTAATACATTGGAAGTATAGACCAAATTCAAAACTCGCACCGATGTGAGGCTTAAGTTGTGAACAAAGGAATCGGGCGTGATTCGTGACTTTTGAATCACGCCAGATTACTTTGAGTCACGCCAGATCCCTTTGTTCACAACTTAAGCCTCACATCGGTGCGAGTTTTGAAATTGGTCTATAAACCTTGATATTTCCAAAATATTTTACCATTCAACTATTCACCTTATGTAGAATCAATACTGAAAATATTGAGTTAGGGGTGAGTACTATCAGTACTGTTTAATAGAAACTTTTCTCCAAGGCAGCCATATTTTCATCCAAAAACGAAACTTTGATTGCTGGATCATCTACTACACAACATGAAACGACAAATAAACAAGCTTGTTCTTATAATGTTCTACGTGTTAACGGTGAGTCAGTAGTAAAGTTGGTAAGTGGAATGTGAGAGGAGAGACAAGGTGGAAGGGAAGCCAATATACTGTGGTTTTTCATAATAATGACATAGCTAGTCTGCGTTCCTCGGTGGTCTGCGGTGTCGATCCCTTCATTTCTCTCCTTCCCAACACCGCAGATCGCCAGGCAACGCAGATTATAACATAGTCAAATAGCATCATTGGGAAAAACAGGACTAATGTTTACACCTGTGTTGACGTCATTTTTTCACAGATTCTATTTAGAAAATCTTCATGTGTTACATACCAAGGTAAACACTGCGCAACCAAGCCTTGATCATGAGAACGGGAAGGAATGGGTAACCTCAGTTGTGGATAAGTTTCCTAGAGGAAAGTTGATGACGTAAAAAAAAACAGCTCTTGAAACCTGAATAAAAAACTTGTTTTGGGCTTTCCAAGTTATGTTTGAGACTCCTTTGGTGTTAAGCTTTGATCACGTTAATGGAGACTAGTATAGACCCAACAAATAAAAGGAACCGCTGCACATCAGTAAAAGGAAATCTAAAAGGCTAGAGCTGTAAAATGACATTTACAGTGCATACGTGTCGAGAAATGTGTGTTGACTAACGGTTGTCTTGCATGTCTTGGTCCTATTTCCTTCCACAGGGATGAAAGCGAAGTTTATGACAGCGAACCATTTCTGGGACTTCGATCAAACGTTGACACAAATCCAGGATCTTATTACAAGTGTTAAAGTTAAACTCCATGGGAATGTCGAAGTATCCAAATCTCCTGTTAATAACGGTATTTTCCTGACCGGAAATGAAACGACTTGGGTTGATTTAAGACTGCAATCAAGTCAGAGTTCCTGCCTTACTGATCCCTTCACCTGTACTGAACAACTAACTGTGGCATTCCTTGTTAAAATAACAAACAAAAAGATGCCAGAAGGAGTGAAAAGCCCCCAAAGCGAAATCTTTGGGCCTTATGGGAACGTTTCGGAAGGTAATTACTTTAATTGTCTATCCTTGTAGTGAGTCTTGCTATTTTTTCTCTTATTATGCTTGTCTATCTGTTAAGTCTTTCCGTTCTCGTCCCTCACTTCCGCCCGTCTGCAGCTCGTCTGTCTGTCTGTCTGTCTGTCTGTCTGTCTGGCCTTCTCTTTTCTGTCTGTCCGTTTTTTCCTTGTGTCTCTGTTAAGGTCTATTCGGTTACCAACATGTTTAACTATATCATGATTCTAATTATTCTAGTAAATAGACCAGGCGTAAGAGTGCTTTACCAGCCAGATACAACTATGAGCGTACATGTTATTGGTCAAACCACCGAATGTAGATGTTTATTCGGTTGGTCAAGAAACCGCTGGAAATTTTTGGTGTTCACATGGAAACCGCCGGATCAGCTGAACGTTTATTTGGATGGCTATCTTGTTAAAAAGGGATACGAATGTTTTAGCACAGTAAACAACCAGACTGCGCCAAACAGATACAGACTTGGCTATGAGTTTTACCCGGTGGTATGGTATGACATGATGGCCATTTGGAACAAGGTGGTTCCCATTGAAGATCTGTCACCCCTTATCGATTTGATAAAAGGTAATGGTGACTAGTGGTTGAAAATTGAAAGATTGTTGGGAATGAAATAGAATGAATGAGAAATAGATATTAGTTCCGTCCTTAATAAAATAATGTTTATCCTTAATTATGTATATCTAATCCCTAATATCTATGTATATTTATTCCCTAATATCTATGTATCCTTATTCCCTAATATCTATGTATATTGTTTTCAGATAATGGAGGAGAAACCAATCTTTCTTTATCGCTGAGAATACCTGGATTAACATGGAATTCCAAATACGGATCCCAAACTTCTACAGAATACAAAGAGTTAAAACAAAAACTAATCAATAATGTAAGAACTGAAAAACGACAGCATTTTAAAAGAATCATAAAATAATAATAATGGTTGGTTTAGTTTTACTTGTAAGGTGAATACATGTAGTAATATTTCATATCGACTATTTATAACAAAGCCACGATATGACGCGCGCTCTGATTGGTTAATTAGCATGGGCGAGCGTGCATCCAGAAATGGAGGGTGCACGCTGACGTGATTGAATAGCGCGCGCTATGTAATGAAGATTTAATAAAGATTTAATGAAGATTTTTGATTTTGTTTTTTGATAAACAAATATYTTTTATGGTTTTGTTATGTCATAAAAGCAATTGTCAATGCTTAGTTGTGCGTATATCCAGTTCTGGATGCACTTGGGAGGTTGCTTAAGCGCACTCAAGAAGCTACAGCTACACTCGGCTACGCCTCGTGCGACTCTTACGCTTCTTTCGTGCTTAGCTACCTCCCGCATGCATCGAGAACTGGAAATACGAACACCTAAGCATTGACCATTCCTTAAAAATATTCTATCGTTGGTGTTAATCAAAAGTGTTTGGTTTTCTAGGTAACATTTGTCGATGGTATGTATGGAAAGCAGTATCATACGAATACTCAGTTGGTCTCAATCCAGTAAGTACCAATCAATCACTCTTAAAACTCCTAAGTACAATTCCAGGAATGCAAAGCGGATGTAACAATTTACGCATGCGTAAAAACGTTCGACGGCAATGCTCATGTGCAGAGGCAGCCGTTGATTCTTTCAGATTGCATCAAGAAGTAAAGACCTCTGCGTAAAACCCTTTGATGTAATTACCGGTTGTAGTGTTTTAGAGAAAATTTCAAAAAGATTTAGCTCAAAATTGTTTCCGTTTCGAAATGAATGGAAGCTCAAAGTAGGACTTGAGGAGGATGTTTTAAAAAGAGATAAGGCCTGTGGTGTCAATAATTCATCAGTAATTCATTTAATTTTAATTTTAGGAGAATAGCAGGAATGCCTAGTGGGCATAACGTGGTAGCTAATCTAAAAATCAGCTTTACCCAATTAAAACACACTACAGCCATTGAACTGCAGGAGATCCTAGAGAACTTAATAATCGGTGGTCAGAATACCGAGATAGTAGAGTGTTCATCGGATGATAACTGTAAGTGACAGTAGCTCGTCCCAGTCTCTGATATAACTACAATGACACGGTCATTCTAGTTTCCAGACCCTACATTTCATTTAGTTTCTGTCAAGCAACAAAGGCCACGAGTGAATCAAAACCCTGGACCCAGCTAATTTTCAGTTCTCCGTTTGAGCGATTTTTCATAGTTAGCCAATCSGAAAACAGTGTTTGGATTTATCCAGAGGCCTTTTTTATTGGCGGAAAGCAAAAGAAACGTGGGCTCAGACATGCGGTACTTAAGCACAGGGAGCCCATAAACTTAACTAAGGAGTCACAGGCAACCCATCATACATGGTTCCATAACCGATACGACGTGGTGGTAAATACCCTGTAGGAACCATGTGGATACCCTGGTGGGTCTAACATATTGCGTGCAGTTTTTTGCAGCATTCCAACTAACGTAAACGTACGACCAGGAAAAAAGTCAACGGAAATCGTTGTCGGTTGGAAGACATTCACCGATGGATTCAATGACAACGGTTACTATAGACACCACCGATTTGTCTATAATATTAGCAGCACAGCTAATGGTACGACAACTTGGGCTGACACCTTGTCTACTGGTATTTCCATTGTTGGAGGTCTCAAACCATTCACTCATTACTGTATTCGCATGGCTATAGAGAGCTTCAAGGCCAGTGGTTTCTTCAGCGAACCAAAATGTACCAGAACAAATCAAGACAGTATGTATGCAACACAACCACGCGTAATTCCCTTTAATACTATCCATATCTTTACGTTACGCTTGAGAAAGTACAATAGTACCCTTCACAGTTCCCTGGGCCATCTTGAAAGGTAGCCGTGCCTTTGCTTCGAAACGAGACGAACGGTGAGCTTGCAGTGATAGAGACATGCGAATAATTGTCCAAGGTGTTAAAAAAAGGCCTCTATCATTGCAAGCTCACCGTTCGTCTCGCTTCGATGCAAAGGCACGGCTACCTTTCAAGATGGCCCAGGGAACTGTGAAAGGGACTATTAGGTATAAGCTTCCAAGAGGGTCAGAAATAAAGATACAATTTACTCTAGGAATGCATGTCATACTTTATATATACCTTAATAACCGGTTCATAACCGGTTTATAACCCGTCAATAATCGGTCAATACCTGTATTCCAGAGCCAAGCATTCCGCCAATAATCCTGTCCGCCTACAACACAAGTCACGTGAGCATATTTGTAGAATGGAATCAAACAATACCACGTGCTGGATGGAACGGCATTCCGATTGGTTACCAAGTGGATTGGGTAGTAGGGAATAGGAATTTTGGTATCAACGATTCATATTACAACATAACGACAGGCTTGAGACCGTACACATGGTACACGATCAAGGTCAGCGGTAGGACCATTGTGGGTGCTGGGGCATCAAACGCTGTTCAAGTTAGGACATCAGAATGGTGTAAGTAAGACATTCAAATTTTATCAATGCCCTCATCAAAACTATAGGGAATGACAACTCACAGATTTAGAGTGTTGGAGTTTTTGGAAAAGCGGAGAATCCGGAGAAAAACCCACCCGTCGAATGAATCATGAGAGATATCTAACGAACTCTGATGTCGAGTCCAGGATCAAAACCCGAGACACTAGGGCCCGGTTGTACGAAGCCTGGATAGCACTATCCAATCGATAAATCTTATCCAGTGAATAAATTTATTGCATAACAGCATCGACTTATACACTGGATAAGGATTTATCCGCTGGATAGCGCTATCCAGGCTTCGTACAACCGGGCCCAGACGAGTTAGAGGGGAGTGGACCGCTACACCATCCTGGTTTCATATAAAACTGTCATCGCTTTAAATCAATTCTCTGAGTTACACACTATCTTAAGATTGCAGGATTGCATCTTGGTATATTTTGAGGCCAAGGTTTTGTTTCCACAGATCCTTACAACCACCCATCGAACATCACAATCTTTAATACCAGTCAAACCAGTATGAAGGTCACGTGGTCAAGTATCCCGTATAATGACCGTAATGGCGTCATCCTGGGATACAAAATCGAGTTTTTTGACATGTATTTTGGTTACCTGGTGGAAAACGTGACAGTTCCATCCATCGTGCGGGAGAAAGAGTATCATAATCTGAGCATCTACAATCTGTACGGTGTACAGGTCAAGGGGTTCACCATTATAGGTGATGGACCGAGAAATGACTTGAGTGAAACAGTAGCAAGGACTGAAGAGTCTGGTGAGTAAATGGATGACATTAAGGTGGCTCCATAGGGTTTTTGAGGCAATACCAAACAAACAGCATTCTAAGGCTAATACAGACTAACACGCGTTGATACACGATAGGCCAACCATATTTTTTTTATGAGTTTAGCAGGCAGGCAGGCAGGCAGGCAGGCAGGCAGGCAGGCAGGCAGGCAGGCACAGACAAAACAGTAGATAGACGACAAACGGCACATCGTTTTAACATCCCTTATTCTTGTGTACTAGTTCCAATAGTAGCTCCATCCCATCTAGTTGGCTACAACCTCAGTGTTCATTCTATTTTGGTTCAATGGTATTTTGACTCCAACGAACGTAATGTTCTTGGGGTTCTTCTGGGTTTCCGGATTTTCTTGAATGGAGCAGACAACGAACCAAACTTCCATCCGAGCACCCGTGATGTCAAGAACGACACAAATATGATTCATTTTGGCGGTCTGTGGCCATACACAGTGTACAATCTATCTATAGCAGCTTATACTCGTAAGGGGCATGGTGTCATTAGTCAACCATTTCTCGTTAAAACTGATGGTAAAGGTATGCAAAGTAGATAAATGAGCGCAGTTGTTCTACGCTTATTCTATCACCGTTTGTGCCGTGTTTTTCAAATAGTCCAGTATCAACCTCAAGCCTACCACCATCTCGTACTATTATAATTGATTGCATTCCCTTGCATCGTTTTGCTATATACCCCTCACCTCACCATGTTTTTACAAAGAGTCTTGCTTGTATTCAGCTCCAGGCCTACCACCATTTCCAGTCAAAGCCCACAATACAAGCTCTACCAGTATCCAAGTAAGCTGGAGAGAAGTCGATAAACATTACCACCATGGTGTACTATTAGGATATAAGGTTATCGTACGTGAGCTATTGCAGTCTGCTGTAACGATCAACAAAACTGTACCAAAGGGAACTAATGTAACTGACATCAATGGTCTGAAGATATACACCACATACGTCATCAAAGTACTGGCCTTCAATAAATATGGTGAAGGAGAGTACGATGAAGAGTTTGCTACGACAGACGAAGATAGTATGTCATAATTCTTTTCATGCCGACGTTTTTTGGGGGAGGAATAATAACATTTCGCTTAGAATTGTGGGATTTCTTACACGAACATAGCGGGACTTTAACCATATCTTATTCCCATAATTCCTTGCAGGATAACCTTAGTGCCGCTACCTTCAAACAGGGAACGAAGAAGCGTTTCCTAAATCTTTGAGATTATACTGTCTCTTGGTGGTTGACAATGTTATGTATCATGATGATTACTTGCTTGTTTTCAAATCTTATAGTAAACGTTCTCAATTCGTCCCTAGTTCCCAGTCGACCTCCGACATTGGTTACGGCGTGGAACACAAGTTCTACAAGTATCCAGGTTTCTTGGCAACCACTCAATGACAGTTACTATGAACACGGCGTGTTGCTAGGTTACCAACTAACTTATCATCGCACAGATGAAAGAGGAGATGTAGAGAATCTTGTGTTTTGCCCTGATGAATTGACTACGAATATTACAGAGTTGGATAAATATGTTAAATACACAATAACTGTACGAGTCTTTAATAGCAAGGGATTTGGACCAGTTAGTCCTCCAGTATTCTGCACAACTGATGAAGATGGTAGGCTTTACTTTATCTAGTCATAGGTCACGTGAAGCATTCTGGACTTGTTATGCCTTATAAGGTGTTGTTTGTAACGAAGCTAGTCCAGAAKGCGTTGCAATAAACAAATTATAAATAATTTTTTTCATTTGTGTTTTCCAGTTCCTGATCTTGGTCCTCTTAATCTACAAGGCTTCAATACAAGCAAAAGCAGCATTTTCGTCAAGTGGGACCCAGTACCAGCGGACGAGAGGAACGGAGTATTACTGGGATATAATATCATGTACAACATCACCAATCTTGCTCCATCCCAATCTTCGCGGCGTAAACGACGTTCAGTGAGCAGTGCCACGTTCACCGCTCTTGTGCAACCAGGGCAAGAAAACTATACGATATACGGTCTTTTCCCGTACACCCTGTACAGTATAGGTATCGCTGGGTATACAAGAATAGGTGTTGGTCATTGGAGTCCAGCAATTTATATAAGAACAAACGATGAAGGTACGTCAGTCTATAGCAAAAGATATGGTTATTTAAAAAGGATCAACTCAAACGAGAGGCAGCTGGGCCCGCTGTTGGCCTCGCCAGAATCTCACTATACCACGATAACAACAGGTGTAGGCCTGTAGATAGGAGTGGAGGAAATAGCGATGATAACGAGAAGAACCTGTTCATGTCATAGCTATGGTTGACCACTACATGGTCACATATTATGATCATCGGATATAGTATGGTACTTGACGGGTCATTATCTTTTCTAGAGCCACAGATACCACCTCCAGATGTCATGGTCTTCAACACCAGCTCCACGTCAATCAACGTGACATGGTTGGCCATTCCTCCGCCTCTGGTTGCAGGAATACTGACATCATATCTGATCAAGTATACCGAACTGGATGACGAGGGAAAGAACGTGACGAGTTTATTAAAGATCGTTCCTGCTACACAGCTGACTATCGAACTGACGGGTCTAGAGAAGTACACTGACTACAACATCACTGTTAGGGGAGCTACTGTAGAGATAGGGGTGGAAAGTAGCCCAGTTATGGTCAGGACACATGAAGATAGTAAGTACACTGACTACAACATCACTGTTAGGGGAGCTACTGTAGAGATAGGGGTGCAAAGTAGCTYAGTTATGGTCAGGACACATGAAGATAGTAAGTACACTGACTATATTTTCTCGTATTTTTTAATCAGCTCCTAGCAAACCGCCTCAGAACATGACAGTAGTTCAAACAAGTTATTCCACCCTGAACGTATCTTGGAAAGCAATCCCAAAACCCTTTATTCATGGAATATTACGAGGATACATAATGTTTTACAAGAAAACAATCGACTTTTGGACAGGAATAAACCACACTATGAAGTTCCTACCAAACATGACGTCATACCAACTGACAGACTTGGAGCCTTATACTAACTATTCGGTCTGGATGTTTGGGTTTACATCTGTGGGGAATGGTACAGCTACTACAGTCAAGTATGCAGTAACCGATGAGTATGGTGAGTCCATGTGATTCTGTACCTTCTATAATTGGTACCCAGTAAGGCTCCTGTTCAAGCATGTGTCTTTTGTACCTATCTTATTTAGATCCCTCTAAGGCTCCTCTCAATCATGCGATTTTGTACCTTCCATATTTAGTACCCAGTAAGGCTTGTATTCTAGCATGTGTCTTTCGTACCTATCCTATTTAGTTCCAAGTAAATCTCCTGTCAATGTCACGGCAATGAACTTCACAAGTCATAGGTCAATCAACGTATCCTGGCACCCAATCCCTCACGGGTTTGTTCACGGTATTTTGCGCGGTTACCGTGTTTTGTACAAGAAAGTGATGATGCAGGATGAAGAGTGGAGTGGGATACAGGTAAATTACACTGTACAGTCCCAGTCTTTATCGACGATGATAGAAGACCTGGATAACTATGCAGTATATCAAATACAAGTGCTTGGGTTTACCATAAAAGGAGATGGAGTCATCAGCCAATCAGTTTATGCAGGTAATGACAATACTGCAATTCTCTTTGATGTCGAGGGGGATTGAGAAGGAATTCGTGGCGCATGGGATTCTGGGATAGAATCTAGGGAAATCTATGTTAAACTTTTAGACGCAATTCTTTGTGGGATGTGCTTGTTACCGGTCCGCCTCCTCGAAGCTTTGACAAAGACAAATTTTAAAGAAAACCGATCGAACCAATGAAACTAATCTCACACCTACGTCTTCTTCTAAGACCATTTCGGTTGCTTTTCTCCTATATATTTTTACATGCATTCAATATCCATTTCACCTTTAGAAACCTGTCGATGTTCGAAGGAATTGACAACATCATGGTACATGATGGAACCTTACGTCACTCACAACCAGTCCACTACTTCTGGCTTGATTCCCCGTATACTTGAGCCCCTGGTCACTTGGTGCTGCGGTAACTGTTATAACGGTCATGGACAAACAGACATCAACCTTATTCACGATGGTCAAGGTAACAATGCACAAAAGTCAAACGCAACGCAAGTTTTAGTTCCGAATACCGATCTTATGTTCCCTGTGTATGGATTCTACGGTAAAACAACTCATGAAGACTACGGGTATTTGAGCGTAGTGACGTCACCTGGTATATCGTTCATCACGCTGACCCAGGAAATGACATCTGTTATGTTCAAATCAACCAGTGAAAGCTGGCCTTTGTTCGTAATGATGCTTGTGATGGTACTCTTGGCTGGTGTGCTTACATGGTTGTTGGTATGTATTAAAGCACATGAACAAAATAAGTAAGTGGTCGTTACTCGCACTAAGGAGCATGTATCTGAACAAACATTCGACCCCGGCCCGTTCTTTGATCAAAGGGATGTTTTACTCATCTACAGGACTCTAATCAAAACCCTGAGCATTTCCCGCGACCTTTCATCAAAGGTTCCTACGAAGGCTGTTGGTTGGCATTTATAAGCATCACTACAGTTGGGTGAGTAGTATTTGGTCTATCAGTGGGGGAGGGGGTAAGTAGTATTTGGTCTACCAGTGGGGGGAGGGGGTAAGTAGTATTTTGCCTATCAGTGGGGGAGGGGGTAAGTAGTATTTGGTCTATCAGTGGGGG